GGTCTCCCAATTAACTTACCCTTTCATTAAACATAATATTTCTATTAATAATAACTTTATCACTAACAGGATTATATAATCGATATGCTTTGGATTGTAAGGAATAACTAATTAAGATGCATTTTTCAGATTTTTCATCAAGCTTATGATGATTTTATGAATTCACCAAAGTATAAGTGATACAACAAAAAATTCTTAGATAGCTTACACTTGGTTTCATATCATACCAAGCCTCAAAAGGAGTTTGATTCATAACAGCCTTTGTTGGTGAAATATTTAACAAATAAACTATTGTTGCAACTACTTCTATCCAAAACTGATTTGGAAGGTGTTTTCCTTTAAGCAAACTTCTTACCATTTCAACAATAGTTTGATTTTTACATTCAGCTACACCATTTTGCTCCGGTGTATATGGTGCTGTGAATTCTCTAATACCATTTTTTCACAAAAAGAATTAAACTCATTAAATAAAAATTCACCACCTCTATTTGTCTGAAATGTCTTTATATATCTACTACTTTGCCTTTCTACAAGTGTCTTGAATTTTTAAAAATTATCAAATATTTCATATTTCAGTTTCAGAAAATATACCCAACTCATGCGGCTATAATTATCAGTAAATAATAGAAAATATTGACTTCCACCAAATGATTTTATATTCATAGATCCATATAAGTCAGCATAAATTAATTCAAGACAATTAGATGCTCTCTATGCTTTTCCAACAGGAAATAAATTTTTACTTTATTTGCCATAAATGCATCATTCACATACATCAAGTGTATTAATTTTGGGCAATCCGAAAACCATTCTTTTTTATATAACAACCTTAAACCTTTAATGTTAAGGTATCCATATCTTAAATGATATAAATTAGACATATTCTTTTGAGTTGTGATAAGAGCATGCTTTTCAACATTTGAAACATCAAGTGGAAACATCTTGTTTTGTATCATGCAAACATTTATCGTAATCAAACTAAATGTTTATCTTTAATAGTGCATGAACCATCATCAAATATAACTAAATATTCATCATCTATCAATTGTCCAACACTCAACAAGTTATGTGATAAACTAGGAATAAAGAAAACATTATCGAGGTGTTAGGAACGAGTCGACACTAAGAGGGGTGGGGGGTGAATTAGTGCAGCGGTAAAAACGTCGGTTCTGAAAAATATCTCATCCATTGAAAACCAATTTCGGAAACTTAACTTGAAAGCATGTTTATAAAAGTATTGAAGGCAGTTTGCAATTAATGTAAATTGCAAGAAGGAAATGCAAACCAGATTTTATAGTGGTTCGATCGTCATGACCTGCATCCACTCCGTCGATTCCTCTTTCGTTGAAGCCATCGGCATCCACTATCGGTCTTCCTTCAATAGGCGAAGACCAACCACCTTTTACAATTCGATTCTCCTTTTATTGGATTTAGGAGATAACCCTTACACCCCCACTTACTCATCTCTCAAACTATTCTAACACTTAGAACTTTTGAGAGGAGTTCACATAAGATTACAGCAGCGTTTCTTTCTATTTTTACTCTCAAGTCTTATGTAGTTTAATCAGGGATGAGAGAGGTATTTATAGGCTTTAATTTGATTTAAACTTAGAGCCTAAAAATATCTCATCTCAGGTTTCCTGGGTTCGGGCGGTACCACCACCTGTGTTAATCTAATATTAACAATGCATTGGGCGGTACCACCACTTGGGAGGCTATGCTGGGCGGTACCACTACCCAGACTAGTGGTACCACCACCTGCAGCCTCTCGGAGGCTGTGTCTGGGCGGTACCACCGCCTAACATAATCTCGGAGATTGTGCCACGACGGTGCCACCTCTTGGATCACTATTTGGGTCTTTCATTGGGTCCAACCTAGTCCTTACATGGGCCCAACTGGCTCCTAATTGGGTTGGCCCAAATTCAATCCCAATTATGTGCTAACTATGAAATCTAAGATATTTACTAAGCTAAACAAGTCCTATGAGTCAAGTTTTCTTCCGGCGAGACTTCCGACGATCATTCGGCAATGTTCCAACTGACTCCCGACAAGCTCCTGGACTTCACGATGATCTACTTGGTGAGTTCCGATGAGCTTCTCTGGCAAGCTTCGAGACTTCTCGGCTGGTTCCTGCAGAACTTCCGACGAACATCCTGACTTCCGATGAACTCTCGAACTCCCAACGAAAACGCGTTCTTGACTCGGGGACTCCATTTTGCTTTATGCCTTGCTATCGTATTTAATCCTGCACATGTAAAAATATACTTTGATCTAGACAATTGATACTAAGTATGAATCATATTGTCCGGTATGTCATTGGTCTATCGATGCTTCGTCCGATTCTTCGGCGCATCATCTTCTCTTGCGGCCTATTGCCCAATCGGCCAGTTAACTCCACAATTCCGATATACTTAGGGCAATATCTGCTCTTCTTGACCCGATGCCCGAATCCATGGCCCGAAGCCTTCTATCGATACGTCGACCTATCCTCCGGCTCGACATCCAATCTTCTGACATGTTCCATCGGCCCAACATGATTCTTCCTGCTTTAATTGTCTCATCCTGATCGAAGCATCCTACATCACTAAAAACATAGATTAAATCATAAATACTTATCAATTGGTTTCGTCATCAAAATACGAGAACAACATAAGGTATTTTACCTTCTCTTGATTTGTCTTCACCTCAATTGTTCATTTCCTTTCCACTTGGATTTGTTTGTTATCTCCAAGTCTAACTTTCAACTTATGAGTTTCATCAAAATCTCTAAACATTGATGTTATGCCTAACATATGATCATAACATCTACTATCCAGAAACCAAATATCATTTGAGATTTCACTAATGAGTCATAAATAATTTACTATTTTCTTTATTTTCCTCCACATAACTTGCTTGCTTTTCTCTTTTCCAACAATTTTTCTTCATGTGACCAAACTTTTTACAATAGTGACATTGAATTCCACTCTTGTAATTTTTTTTTATCATAATTTAATTACTTTTGTTCATCATGCCCATCAAAGTGTCCTCTTCCTCTTCCATTTCCTGAAATCCTCCTCTATCACATCCTCTTCCTATTGATTTTTTATCTTCTTTTGAAGTATAAGACTCCTCCTTAATCCGAAATACTTTTTCTTCATTTTTTTCAAGTGACCTGTTCAATCTTGTTTTATGTGCTTGCAAGGAACCCATTACTTCATTAAATAAAAATATAGATAAATCTTTTGACTCCCTGATTGCGACGATAATATGATCAAATTTCAGAGTTAAACTTCTCAAAACTTTTGCAATAATTATATGATCAGGAAGATGTTCACCATAAGATTTCATTTGACTAACAATTTCAATCGCTTGAGAAAGAAAATCTTACACCGATTCATTGCTTTTCATAAACAAAATTTCAAACCCACGATGAAGGGTTTAAAGTTTTACCATAATGACCTTTGATGAGTCTTGAAATTCATTTTAAAGTATCAGCCAAACTTGCTTTGAGGTTGTCGCTGTTACAATTCTTGAGAAGGTTGTCTAATATACAACTTGTTGAATGAAGAACAATGTCTTTGAGTCATTATTTCTATTCTCCGTCAACCTGATTTCTTCATCTGGATCTGCATATCCATTTTGTATTAAGTCCCAAAGATCTTGAGACTTGAATAGAGTCTTTATCTTGATACTCCAAAATTCATAGTATTTGCTTGAGAAGATGGGAATAAAGAGTTGAGACATGGAATTGCCATTGAAAGTCATAATGCCCAGTTCATATAGAAACTTATCTCTGATACCATAAATGTTGGGGATGGAGGAGCAAGGAAACGATAAAAACAGAATACTACGATGTAATTAAAAAGAATCATTTCGATAAAGAAAATCGATGTAGTATTTAAATAAGAGGATTAACATAGAACACTTATAAGATATTCTCAAGTGTATACACCTTATCTTGCTTCATCAACTATGGTCATATTTATAGGACCTAGTGATAATTATCTCACTTTGCTATGTCACCCATGATTGAGTTAGGTGTAGGAACTACCCCATAACTTCTATATCATGGGCCACTTCTTAAAACATACTTATAACTACCTAGAACATGGTAACTACTTAGATAACTGCTATGAATCGATTCTCAACACAATGGGCGATGAGGTTCAGTTGTGGATCTTGATTGCCATCGAACTGGTTGAAGAAGGCTATGAGAACGTACTTGTAGTTGCCGGTGGCATAAGCTTCTCGTAAGCCTCCCTCATAATCGTTTTGGCCCTAGTAGATGCAATGCATGGTTTGACGAGCAAGCGATTATGGGCGGGTGAAGAGGTCAGAAAGAATAGAGGAAATCAATAATAATTTAAAAGATAATAAAATTATATTTTTATTTATTATATTTATATTTTTGAACGTGAAAAGTATGATTTTTTTCATAGTTAACTAGGTAAGGAAAATTAGAGACGCAATATTACTTTTTAAGGTATAAGTATCAAAATATAAATTATAATTAATTATGAGAGAGAATTTTTAATTAGGTATGCTACACATAATTTTTGTCAGATGAACAATTTTATCTCTATCAGGTTTATTTAGGTATGCTACAGCCAAATTTAGACGAATAAAAATGAAATGAATAATTTTGAAGTAATTTATGTATACTTGTGTATTTTAAGTAATTTATTATATTACGAAAAAATCAACAATGATTCCTCCCCCTTCGCGCGCACACACCACCGCCCCCCTCCCCGCGGGGCGCGGGGCCGCCCCCAAGTTTAAGAACCGTAAGACATCACCCGATCGAAAGAGTTTCTCCTGCACAGAGAACACTAGTACCGTTATGTCTAGTGTTTTTGGCACCCACAAGGTGGATTTAAAAAAAAAAAAATCGATGTTGGAATGTAATACGCGTAATTTTAAATAATATCAGGGTTAAAATAAAACATTAAAAGGTCTAATTAGTAAATATATATTTAAGTGATGGCCAAAGCAAGATCCGCACCCTTCGTCTTATATTCCTTGAAAGGCCAAACCCAAACAAAGAGAAACTCGTTTCAGTCCAAGCGTCGGTGGGGCGACGAGAAACGAAAGGGAAGAGATCAAGAAGACTCCTCCATTCTTTCTCCAAGCTCTTCTACTTCAGATCTCTATCAGGTTAGCATCGTTTATCTCTCTCCTCACCCCACCCCATCTAATTTGAACGATTGACTTCTTTCTTCCGGAACCCCGATGCTTTAGATCCGGGTTTCCGACCAATGCGCGATTCTTTGCAGAAATAAGTCGATGGGTACAATTTCCTGCTTTTCCGCTTTTCCTTGTGGAGAAATGGTGGTTTAGGGCTTCAATTTTCTTTTTATTTCCTCATCGAAAAACGTTTTCATGGTTTCATATACAATCTTGAGTATGGTTGACTCCATATTGATGGATGTTTTTCCGTTCGTGATTCGGAGGGCGATGGTTTTGCACGAAGGAAGAAATATAGGAAATAGATGTTGGATTTGAGTACATTTGATTAATTTATTTGTGTATTTTTATGAAAAGAAAAAGAATTTTATGGTTGAATTCTTGTATTGTTCTTTATATGATCAGTAATGGTCGTTTATTGGTGATGGAAGTTACTCTTCCTTCTTTTCTTACATGTTCCCCGTGATCTGTGTAAATTGTTTCTTCTTCTTCTTGATGGAAGTTTTTCCGTTCGTAATTCGAGGGGTTATGGTTTTGGACGAAGGAAGAAATATCGGAACTAGATGTTGTATTTGAGTACATTTGATTAGTATTTTGGGGTGTTTTGATGAAAAGAACAAGAATTCTATAGTTGAATTCTTGTATGGTTCTTTAGATGATTAGTAAGGGTCATTGATTGGCGATGGAAGTCACTCTTCCTTCTCCAAGTACATGTACCATGTGATTTGTGTAAATTGTTTCTTCTTGTTTATTCTTCTTCTTCTTTGTCCTCACAACATTTGGTTCTTTCTTGGATTTTTATTTGTAGGCTGGGCCAATTTTATTGACATGGATACTGGAGAGAACGAATCCACTCTGAGTCAAGAAGAGATAATTGATGGTACTGTACAGCAAAGCCTTAAGGAGAAGGATAGTGCAAATCCATTGGAGCAACCAGTTGAAGTAGCTGACAGAATAAATAGTTGTGATGCAAGCATCAATATGGAAAATGGCATTCATCAGAACCTTGCTAATGATGAAGAAAGTACTGATGAGCTCACACAACTGGTTATCGAGCTCAGTTTTCAGAATGAGTACTTGAAGTCTGAAATAGGTGACTTAAAACTGGAACTGTGTAACCCAAAGCCACTTTCTGATGAGGAGAGAAAAAGTGGCCCACATGTTGGGTCTTTGGAGCAAGATAGCAGCCTCCATGAACAGATAAAATGCTTACAGAAGGAAATTCAGGCGCAGAAGGAAACTCAAATGGCAGCTGAGGATGCTCTGGAGCATCTGAGGATGGCTTACTCCGAGGCTGATGGAAAGGTTCAAGAGCTTACCACAAAGCTCATTGAAGGTTAGTCATTATTTTCTATATGATATCTACAAAAACTGCATATTTGTTCTCTTGCTATATATTTTTTCATCCCATAACAAGTAGTAATCTACTCCGAGTCTTGTTCTGCTTTTGATTTTTTTATATGAAAGAAATTCTAATGACAAAAAGAATTATAAGTCAGAATACAACTGTTATTCTTCTCCAGAGTCTTTCTTCTGTTTCCTAAGCTTTTTTATGACAGAAACTCTAATGACAATAAGAATTATAAGTTAGAATGACAATGGTTTTATGGTGGATAAGCTCTTTTTGTTTCTTGATTATGTGCCATTGCATCTAAGAAATATATTTATAGCAAGTCCAGTCATCTTTTATCTTGCCCATGTTCCATTGGTCTATGCTAGATTTGACTTTTCATGACAATTAGCTCATTTTATTGCTTGTATACATATCAATGCTTTTATCTTTGGTTGAAATGATTACAGCTCAATTTATTGTTGAAGTTGATAGCTTTTGGCAAAAGTTCCCTAAACATAGCTTTGGAAGGAATGTAAGAAGAAAAGAATAAATGACTACACAGAAGCTCAGGAAGTGTTGTTTAAAATCCTGAGAGTCAAAGATTAGCCACAATCCACATAAATATCTGATTCAAAGACTAGCAATTTGAAATTGACCAATTAAAGATTAAAACTTTAACTGATCTGTTTTACTTTTTCAAACCTCAAGATTAGTTTATAATGATTTATCAATATGAATATGCAAACTGCAATCACTGAAGAGAATGTTTCTATAATTATTCAGACTAGGATCATTTTGAACTCAATTACAGCCAATGACAACATTACTTAAATCTCTCGACGTCTCAAGAGATGTAGGTCACATATTTCTGTATTTTAAAGGCTTTTTCTGTTAAATGGGGAGAGAGTTGAGGCTTATCCTGCAATATGGTAAAGTGAAAGTTGTTGTTGAGTTCTTTAGGCTACCTTTTTTCCTTCTGTTTTTGTCACACTCCTATTATTTTTCACTTTGCTTAAGATCTGGTATGCTCATTGCTCTTGGTTGCATCATATTTTGTCTATGTTATGTCCATCTATCTAGGTTGCATTGAAATTGGTCAACTGTTCCACAAAAATATACTCAATCTTAGGCAAATGGCAATGGAGTGTTTGACCAGAATTTGTCTTTTCATGAGCAAGTTTGACAACGCAATTATAATTGTCTTTGCATGTGCAATTCAGACAAAGTTGGCGACACTATCAATGCTATTGAGTATTGAGGATGCAAGACAGAAGGTAGGATGTGTTATCAAAATGATCGGCTACACAATGTTTAGATGATGATTTGGTGATGGATGAAGGTTTGAAGACTGATGATATAAAATATCCTATAAACCAAGTAATGCAATCTCGTATGAGACCCTTGTAGTGGTTCCAGGTCGGATTGGTACATATTGCCGGTACCATTGTATAGAGTGTTGGTACATCGATGTGTACCATATAGGAAGAAGGAGGAGGAGGAAGAGGAAGGAGGAGGAGGAAGAGGAAGGAAGAAGAAGAGGAGGTGAAGGAATAGGAGGAAGAGGGGGGCAGAAGAGGAGGTGGTGAAGGAAAAAGGAGGAAGACGAAGGAGGAAGATGAAGGAAGAGGAAGAAAGAAGCGGAGGCAATGGAGGAAGGAGGATGAAGAGGAAAGGAGAAGAGGAGGAAGAGGGGGAAGAAAGAGGAAGATGAAGGAAGAAAAGGACGAGGTTGAGGAAGAGGAGGAGCAAAGAGGAAGAATAAGGAGGAAAAGGAAGGAAGAAGAGTTGGTGGAGGAGGAGGTGGAGGAAGAGGTGGAGAAGAGCAGGAGGGAGCATACCTGGAAAGAGGCCAACGGTACATAGTGGGTGATATAGAGATAGGCGGCAGCGGGTTCACAATTTGGAGGAAGGAGGAAGAAGGCTCACAAATTGGAAGGAGGAAGAGGGCTCACAATTTGGAGGAAGAAAAGGAAGGTGGAGGATGAGGCGGAGAAGGAAGAGGAGGATAAGAATCGGAGGAAGCATACCTGAAAAGAGGTCAGCAATGCATGGTGGGTGATAGAGAGAGACGGTAGCAGGCTCGCATAATTGTGTGATGGGCAGTAGGGAGAAGAGGGCTTACAAAATTGTGAACCCTAATTGAACTTGCTATTTTTTTAATTGGACCAGATTGGACCACCCGAAATGGGGGTGGTCCACATACTGTTTCATGCCCGACCGATAAATACCGGTCAGTACGGATCAGTTTGGGCGAAATTGCAATCTTTGCTATAAACTATCAGTAGATGTTGGAGGTTGTTCTTTGCTTCTCATGTGGCCCACTGGTTGAAAGCACTAATCACCTTCTTTTTCTCGTATCCTGTGGCAGTAGAGAGTTGGAGATAAGTGATAGGCTTGTTGAAGACCCACTTTCCTCCCACTAACTTGGTTGATCTTGGGGCACGTAGAGCTCTCTTCATTTCTTCTCCTGGAGAGTGATCTGAGATAGTTTTGCAATTATAACTTGTTGGCCACTACAGAAAGCTAGAAATAACAAGCTCTTCAGAAACAAGTCGACTGCTGCCTGAGATCTTCTGTAAATGCTCTCTGGTGGTTCGTCTCTTTGAATATTATTCAAGAAGGTTTTACTTAAGTTTCTTCTGTGTTGCTTCTTTTTCTTGGTATACTTGTAAATGGCAAGCTTTTAGCACCATATTTACCCCTCTTTCAATCATCCTCGTTCTCTTGCATATTTACTGATATTTTTTCTTCTTTCTAATTTGTAAGTTTTATTTGCTTAATTAGATTATTATCGATGAACTTTTTTTCCATTTGTTGCCTAAAGATAAAAAAGAAAAGAACATTAATATCCGCCAAGGATGAAGACTAACCTATTTTGGAGCCTTCAACTAAAACTAGTTATAGATGTTCAATTATGACATCTTTAATGTTGAAATTACTGAAGAGAAGTTAAATGTTCCTTTTGTAATATTAACCAATTTATGCCTTATGTGTTTTCTGTTATGATAGATTATTGATATTAAATATATTAGAGAAAAGAGCTAGAAAAGCAAATAAGATCATCTTTAATTTATGAATATTTTTAAATAAATATTATTGCATCATTTACTCTGTTGCAAGAGCAAGGGTCTGAAGATTATGATTAGGATCACAATTGTGATCGGCCATTATAAAAGAAATCAGGTCGATTGGTTTTGGGCTATGCTTCGTTGCCATTGCTTATAACCTACTAGGGCCTTGGTAAATAAGTAGCTAAGGTCTTTCTTTAGCTCCTTTGTCTCTTCTTAAAATGATTTACTGAATACCTGTCTTAAGAAGGCAAGATTTTGGAAGTCAAAGACCATCTTTACGGGGGGATCTTTTGTGGGTTTTTAGCATTCAAAATAATCTTAAATAGTATCTCTAGCTCTCCTTGCAGAGGCATGGTAAAATTGAAAAATTTGTTGTAGACATTGAATTAATCAGAGATCAACAGAACAAATTTAACAATTCAATTGCATGTTAATTTTGTTTTAATTTCTGAGCTTCAAGTTCAGTTGGATTCTGGATCAACATATATCACAATTTTCTTCTATTTTGTTGGTTAAGTGAATGGTAAGATACCCTTATAATAACATGATTTTTCAGTACCCTGTATGTATTAATATTGTAATGCTTTTTCACCTTGTCTTAAACCCATTATGGTGTCTTTAATTATTATATCATTTTAATTTTGTAGCTCAACAGAAGATGGAACAAGAAATAAAGGAGCGTGATGATAAATATGTTGAGCTAGATTCCAAGTTTGGAAGGCTTCATAAACGGGCAAGACAACGGATTCAAGAATTACAAAAGGTGAACATGTCAAATGGTTCTGTCTGTCCTTTTGATTTCATGTCTTTCCTGTGCATACATCCTCTTTTAATTGCTGAAGAAGATTGTATTTGACTGTATCTGGTCAACACCAAGCATTTCTCTTAGCATGACTTAGAGTGGACATCTTTTTCATTTTTGTGTTCCTTGTTCTGTTAGATCTAGGGTTGATCAACTTTTTTCAGATTCAGAGAAAGATGTTGGAAAGGTCCAGCACTCCTGTTTATAGCCTAACATAATTCTCTCTTACCCATGGTGATTCTAAATTTTGGGTATGATTTAGAAAAGATTTCCTTCAGAGAATTTGTGTCTTACCAAACTGATTCTTTTAGAGGTGTTCATATACTGATGGATATATAAACTCTTGGCTTGACTTTGTAGTAAACATGTACTTTAGCAGTGGGCAAGAGATCAAAGAAAGATTGGGACCAGAAGGTTCCCTTTTATGATAGCCTGACTATTTGGCTTTTTGCTAGTTTGGTAATTGATGAATAATGCTAAAGGAAGAAACACTAAGACAACTTGAGTACCTTTTTTCTTTTGATTATTCTTGGCACCTCTTTTTCAGTCAACTAATGGCACCCTTGTTTAATGAGATCAGCTCTTGAATCTGAATAAGATAAAATATCAGTGATGAAGACCTACATGACAATCATCTATTGATTTAAAATATCCAAGTGATGATAAATGTATTCAACTAGTTTCCTTTTTAAACAGTGTTTCAACTTTGAACACTCTTGATTTGTTGGAAGTTTGTGTTCTTGATTTTTCATTGACTCAATAGTTCTTAAGGTTTTCCATGGTAGCCAAACTGTTAGGAATTTCACAAATTTTCTATTTGTTCATTGTTCATGGCATAACTTGAGATTGCCTATGGTTGTCTTGTGGTGATGCTTCTTGCTGCAAAGGGATGGTTCTCTTCTTCTATTGCTTTTTATGACATCACCATTGCTTTGATTGACTGAGAAGACATATACTTATCATAATTTTTTTCTGAGAAAAAAATATATGCTGGATCACTTAAGCACATCATGAATTCTTGATCACCTTAGTCATCTGGTATTCTCTTCATAACACTAAATTTGGAATCCAGACCGTCGAACCTGTGATTGCTGTCTTTTCAAATCTGTGTTACACTTCGTTGGTTCCTATATAATTCTTTTACAGACTATAGTGCACAACAAAGTTTTTTCTTGGTTATGATATTCCTACTAAGCATTTAAGTTGACTGACAGGCCTAATTTTAAATCAGAATGTTGTAGAATCCATCCATCTGACTCTTTGAAGAATGCATATGCAATTTTCTTTGCTTCTAACTTCTGCACTTCTCTGTTATTCTTGGTGCAGTCGAGTGTTGACAAGTTTGTAGATTTTATGTTCTTTTGTTTTATCTAGGAGAAAGATGATCTTGAAGCACGCTTTAGTGAGACTAATATGAAAATTGAGCAAGCTTCATCCCAGCAAGCAGCATTAGCACAGCAGGAACTGGAGCGTAGTCGTCAACAAGCCAATGAAGCATTGAGATTAATGGATGTTGAAAGGCAGCAATTACGGACAGCTAACAGCAAGTAATGCAAATTTTTAGTTGTATGAGGTTGCTATTCATTGTCTTGGTATTATGATGCTTACTTTTTATTTGTTTAGATTAGTTCAAGAATTTACCTTGTGCTAGCTCTCTTATTTATAATGGTTTTGGAGAAACAAAGCAAGACTAACTGGTTATTATGGTCAGACATTTCTTGCCAATTGAATGTCAGCTTCAACTTTTAAAACTTTAGAAGTGGTAGTGACTAATTAAGATCGTTTTATGTAAACTTTAAAATTGGATATTTGTCCACAGATGATGTAAAATAATTACTAAGCTTATTGATATCTCATTCTTGTGCAAGTTGATTTCATCTCCTGATGGATAAAATACAAATAAATTATTAGTATGGCATATTGATTGTCATGTTAAAGGATATGGTTCCAACAAGAGGAGCATTTTTGGTCATCATTGAAGATGTATTAACCAAGTAATTCTCACTTGGTTTTCACATCTGCATACTCAATTTAAAGCAAGCTCCATCAAGATCTTGATCAGTTATCTTCATTTTATGTAGAAAAGTGCAATGTGCTTTCATTAAAGACTAAAATACCATGGCAGGAAGTAAAACTAGTATCACGACATGAACAATATAAAAGGCTGGTGATTACTTATTTCTTCTCCAATGACATATGAAATATGTTGTATTGTTAGTTTAATAGTAATTGTTTTTGTAATTAGTTGCCCCATCATAGCAAGTTGTTTAATTAATTAAATTATTGTAGTTGTAAACCAAAAATTGGTTTTGTTAGCATACCACCATGTCAGTTGGTGGTTTGCACTAGGCTGTGTTATACATATACTTTAAGACAATTGTTTTGGCAGCATGCAAAAAAAAAAAAAGAAATATTGAAATTGGATTTAGCTTGTTTTAAACTTCTGGTTGATGTCCTTTGCCATTGTCCATTAGTGGACAGTAGCATTTAGTTACTGTAGCCATTGAAAAGCCTGTTGAGTCCATACCATGTAATAGGATTATTGGTGTGGAAAGTGGAAACAGTGGTATAAAAAAAACAAAAAAAAGAGGCTACTCAATACATAATGGTCCCACCGGGATGGATCAATTTATGCAGCCTTATCATGTGTTGAACCCTTCTCATCTAGGTCGCAAAAGAGTAGTCTTATCTTTAATACGTATGGTATGAGTACGTAGAAGTTTTGATACAGTTGCTTAGGGTTTTTAGCACTTGATTTTCATAGCTCAAGTGGTTATAGACAAGTATCAAGGGCACAAAAGCTATGGAATAATGATAAAAACTACCAAGGTCTTCTGTGGCTATTGATGAGTGCCTACATTGGTTAAAACATACTGTAGCAGAAAGGTATTTAAAAGGTTTGATTAGTGCTGAGAAGTATAAGTTTTGATACATCTGCTGAGGGTTTTCTAGCACATGATTTTCATAAGTGAAGTGATTATGTATGAGTAGGAAGGGCACAAAAGCTATAGAGTTTGCTACTATAGCCATATTGTGGTATGACCAGTGTAGTCAATGGCGCGAGGCGCTAAAAGGTGCTAAGGTGCCAAAATGCCTGAATGCCTAGCGCTCACTCGAGTGAAGCGAAGTGCTTGCAAATATTAAAATCAAGTATATATAAAATTAATGATAGGAGGGAGGAGGAGGAGGAAGGAGAAGGGGGTTGTCATGGTTCGAGGAGACTTAGTGGCCCTCCGTTAGGAGGGGAGCTATCGGGGAGAGGGGGGCAATCATAGAGAAGAATGAGAAAGAGGGAAGGGACTACGAGAGGAGGGAAAAGAAGCAGAGAGGAGAAGGATGAGTAGGTAGGAGGGAGAGGGGTTAGTTGGGGTCTGGGGATGCTTGGCGAGGGTAGTGGGGTTGTTGGGAATGGTGGTGGGAGGGGGTCTATTGGGGAGTCTCGACGATCAGCGATGACATCGGAGGGGGAGGAGAAAGAGAAAGAGTGAGGTAGGAAGGAGAGAGAGAGAGAGAGTGATATTGTGAGAAGATGACACTCTCAAAGGGTCATCGTATGAGAGGAAGTTGCTCGCTAATCATCAAATTGTTGCTTTTGCCATGGGAGGAAGCCATTGGATGCATCGCGAGAGAATGGTGTCCAATTGTTCCGATCGATAGTGCTAGGTTTTTGCCAATTGTGGATTGTCACCTTTGCCATGAGAGGAAGTTGTTTGGTTTAGGAGGAAGCCGTTCGTCACTTCCTAGGAGGAAGCAGTTCATTGTCGTCAGCACTAGGTTACCAAGAGAGGAGGTTAGGGTCGGTCTTGCACGTGAGGGAGGGATGGTGTGGTAAGCTGTTGGTCATCTGGTTTGATCGAACCAGCATCATCAGGTTCGATTGAACCAGGATTAGTTTAAGCATGCACCTAAGCCATCCAGCTCCTGGGCAACACCTAGTTGAAGGCGCCTGCCTAGCCCACCATCGAGGTGCTCGAGCCCCACCTTGCCTTGCCTCACTTGGGTGCCTTGGCGAGCGTCCAATGACTTTCTTGGGTATAGCTACTTATGAGTACTAAAAAGCTAGTGTGGTTCCAAGATATAGGAATACAAGTTTTAATACATCTGCTTAGGGTTTTTTAGCGTTTGATTTTCATGCTTAGGTGATCTTACAAGAGTAGCAAGGGTACAAAAGCTATAGAATACTGATAATGACTACCAAGATTTGCTTTGGTTATTGATGAGTGCCTGTACTGGTTAAAACATACTGTCCCAGGAAGGTATTCACACGTGCCACATTGACACATGTTGGAGGTGCTAACATATGATGGCTAATATGTGCCTGCTGTAGGTAGCATCAGTGATTTAAAATGCGCTAGGCGCCAAGGTCCAAAAACGCCCGAGGCGCTAGGCGCTCGCTCGAGCGAAGCGAGGCGCTAAAATATAAAAATATATAATATAATTAATATAATTATTTAAATAAAAAATATACTATTAAATTAAGAAAATCGAGTACAAAATCACAATGTCATATTAATAAAAAGTCTAAAAAATCAAAACAATAAAATTTTACATCAAATCTATTGAGTTGCTCTGTACACTTGTCATTTATTCTGAAACTTAACAATAATTTTAAATAAAAAAATTAATAGTATTAAAATTAAAATAATATATTATTAATCTAATAAATAAAAATATTATTATTAGTATACAATTAGCAATATATTGTTAATATACTGTTAACAGTATAGTGAGAAAAGTGTGAGAAGACCGAGGCTACTAAGACAACGACAGTGGTAGCGAGAGCGGGAGTGGGAGTTGCGAGCGGTGAGTGACGACAACAACGATGAGCGACGATTGTGGCAGCGGTGAGTAGCGACAGTGGCAGCAGCAGCAGAGAGCAGCGACAGCGGAGAAGAAATCTCGACGGCAAATCGCAAGTGTTAGGGTTGGGGAAGTCGGGGAAATCGTGTGAGGGAGCCTATCGGTGATTTAGTTGGTCCGATTGAACCAACTAAAGCATCGGAGACCGAACCAGACATAAAACATTGGTTCGGTCGCCTGGTTTAACCCGGGCGCTCGCCCGAAGCGCCCGACGCCTAGGCTCGGGCGAGCGCCTAGGCGGCGCCTCATTGAAGCGAGGCGCTTGGACATGAAGCGAGGCGCTCGGGCCTCGCCTCGCCTCACCTCGCCCGAGCGCCTATTGAAATCACTGGGTAGCATAAGTTTTTGGTGACTGATACGACACTAATGTAACACCAGAAATATTGGCACCTTATACTGTGAAATGGCATTCTTGACAATTGGAAAAACCTACAAAAGCAAAAAAAATAATTACTATGCATATCAGGAGCTGCTGCTAGTGATTCTTAGAGTTTTTTTTACAGGATTCTTAGAGTTATTAGCAGGATCGATTTCTAGAATATACTATTTAGCAAGGTTCGCAATATCGTATCGTACCGGTATTTCGACTTGGGCTCGGTACCGGTACGGTATGGTATACCGAGCGGTACACCCAGGTGTACCGAGTACTGTAGCACTGCCACAGTGCTACAGTGCACTGCTACAGTGCACTCGGACCGGTAACAGGCGGTCCGTGTACCGACAACCTGTTGGACCGGTATGTACCGCCCATACCGGGCGGTATGGTTCGGTACGGCAGACCCTGCTATTTAGCAACATTTTACCAGCCCAAATGCACTTTCCTATAAAGAAGTTAAAGATACATAGGTATCATCTTTGTGGCATGCCAATTTTCAATTACAGTCCTAAAATAAAATTGGCAAACAAGTAGTTAGTATTTATTAAAATATTGTTTCATGTGAGTCAATTTGTGGACTTATAAATTGGATATCTGTTTCATAATTTGTTTCAGCTTAATGTAAATTATTATCACATTTTAACTATAGTTTCAGTAGGTTTGAGAATTTGATACAGTTTTTTCTAGGTTTCTCTTGCTATATATGAAAAACAAGTAATTAGGAATATTAGCTGGACATCCAAACATTTATGAGGCATACTAGGTTCCGGAAAACCTTTGAGGATTGATACGAGGATCAATATATCCTTAACAGTTGATAGAGTGATTATAATATTTATGGTTGATGGTTCTCTTGATCAAGGAGCTTTTACTTAGGTGATTTACTGTTCTTATTTACCTCTAATAAATGTTTTTCTTTTTTCCATCATCATGGTAGTTATGCATTGGAAAAATGCAATTAAGGCTCAAGTTTCTATATCTGAGTATCATTGGAACATATAAGGTGAAGTTTACAGGACTCTTGTTATCTTGATATGTTTGATAAAGCTGTTACCTGCAAAATACATCTCATGTCAATCCGAGACATGAAGTTTTGAGTCTTTTGACTGTCTAAAAATGTTGTCTACATGATGGTTCATATATTTGTCTTTTCTGCTTGTTTCAGTGTTTCAACCTAGTGTATATAATTTGATTTATTATTAATGTTCAGACTTCGTGATAATTTTGACGAAATGCGTCGCTCATTAGAAGCCAAAGAGAATGCACTTGAGGCATTACACCAGTCCATCTTTGAGAAAGAGCAGGTACTACATGCTATTTTTTTAATGTTTGCAAGTTGCTTGAAGCTGTTATAGCATTTTGTCAAATCTTATGTTCTTCATTCCAAAGATTTTAAGCATTTTAAACCTCCTAGTCTGCTCACATGAGATTGATAGCTGTGTTACAACATATCAATGTGGCTTAAGTTTGGTTGTCTTGATTGTGCTGTGGAAGGATGACATAGGTATTATATGTATCTTGCATAATTACGTCATTTAGGGTTACATAAAATGATGAAATTCAATACCCTCGTAAATGGAAATAATTTGAGACATGAGACAATTGCAAGCTGTAACCTTTTTCTTCTCCTTTTGCATTGCTGATGATCTTATTATTTTTCACCTTTCAGTTTTATTGCTTGATGATGTTTTTATCCAATGTTGTTCTTGAAGATGCTTCATGTTGTTTTTTGTGCCTGATAAGAAGGCTTACATTTGGTTTTGTTTGATATGCTTTAGTATCCTTCTATTTTTCTACATCCACTCTGGATCTGGGATCTGGTTTTAACATATGTCTTATGCTAGTTGTTTATTGTATTTATGATCTGATTATTATGTAGATGAGTGTGTTGTCCCTAAACTTCTCTTTTCTAACGTTAATGTCTCTCAGCTTTGTGATATAAATATTCATTACTAGTATATTTCTGATGTGCTGTTCTACTCTTGTCCTATTGCACAGAAGTGTTCCTAATGCTATGCTAAGCTCCTTGACATCATTATTCTACATGCTCCAAGATTTTTTTGTTTTCTACTGTTCCAAATATTTTTTGACTTCTAATATAACTTTGGTTAGTATTAATTGTGGATTCTGCATAAGTTGTTACAATCAAGAATTAACATCTCAATCTGGTCCCCATACTGGCCATCGGTCGGACTAGTAAGGTATGGGACCAATTGGTCCATACTAGTTCTGGACCCGATAAATAACCTTCTTTTAAGTTGTTAGGCCTAAATAATGAATAATTCTTCTAAATATATTGTTAACCATATGCCAAGAAAATCGTCAACTGGAATGGGGTGGAGAAAACAAAGAATAGGGTGGATGCCAAACCATCACACACACTTGATTGAGGTTGTAGGAGGCACATTACTGGAAGTTTATCTCTCACTCAGCAATTTATTGAAGCATCAGAAACCTGTCAGAGTTGAGCGCACTGTGCATTGATTTGCGGATTGGATTATTACAGTTATGTTTGTCTTGATTTAGGTTTTACTTCTTTTTATACTCTTGCATGAGGTAATATTTGAAAACTTTTTTAGGTAAATATTGTGAGATCAATGTGATTTTCCATTGAGTATTTGTTATGACAAGTCAAAAACCCTGTATGAGGTCATGTGCTAAAATCAAACAGCTTCATGTGTCCATACCTGTCACATTATCAAGGTGACCTGCAAACCTGTCAAGAAATCCAAGTGAATTGGCACAAGTATTGCACCCCCAACATTTCCTGAAGAAGGCTCATACAGTTCCAGTGTCTTAACCAACTCCACTGGAGTGTTTGATTTTCCTATGAATAACATTTCCATAAATATAGAAAATCATCTGTATAGGTGTTGTTTCAGCCATTTGGAATTATAGTAAAGTAATGATGACCTGAATTAGGACATTATTATTCTATTTTCACAGATTGTACTTAGAAACTTGTAAGAACCTCATAAGCTGTGTGTAAACAAGAAAATCAACTTACTAATTTTTCTTTAAATAAACCCATATTGCTGATATTTAGCCATACAATTGGTCTGATGAAATCAATGTCATGGGCTGGACCCATCATGCTTTGGGAAAATAAGGTTCGACAAGAGTTTGCATCTAGTGCTCAGCCCTTATTATGCACAAAATTCAATGGTCTATGTAACATTTTATTTTCATTTTTATTGTAGAATTGCAGATGATCAAGATATGGATTTAAATACCAGTTTGATGAGTTTTGATAATCTGTTGGACTACTATGATACTGGTATACATGGTGGTATATTGACTCGTCTTGCCAGGTATCATTGAAAAAAACAAAAAATGTGTATATAGCAGTTTGAAACTATACGTATGATTACTGGGCTTGGTCAGACTGGTAAATTATCAGTTAATATGTATTAGCCAGTATTTAAATCATGGATTAAAACTTTAAAAGTATACCTTTTATGAGTATGATTCTACTTGAATTCATGCATATATTCTTTTATTATAACTTTTGAACAAACTGCTTGGTGACTAAAGCTCTGTTTTGTATGGGGATTTGGAATTGGAGGGATCTAAAGTCCAAGCCAGGATATCTTTAATATCAATTAATGAACAATTTTATTTTTGATTTATGAATTTCAGGATATTAGGAATGGAATATGAGCAATGAATTGGATTTTGTAAATTTTACGATTTGTAAATTCCATGATTACCTTGAGTAACTTGATTACTATGATTTGGATGGTAGGCTTTGGATGGTGGGATTTAGAAAGTGGAATTTTGAGGGTACTTGGCTTAAATCCTTGCAAAATTTGGACTTGTAGTGGGTCTTGTAACTAGAATGAGAGGCGAGATCCTTTTTGGGTGGGATTAATGCCATATATGGTGTATGGGATCTTGATGATGGAAATACTTCAGTGTGATTTTGTAATAACTTGAGATTTTATACATAATTCCGATGGAATCTCTGTACCAAACAGGGCCTAAAAGTTTCCCCTGGTTGAATTTTCTACAGATGTTGGAACAAGTTCGGGGTTTGCTACAAGCCTCAGAAGAGAAAAGACAAACATCAATTGCAGAGCTTTCTACTAAGCTCCAAAAGGTAGAATAAATTGTTGTTCAAGTGGCATAAATATGCAATATCTTTGTAGCCAATTCAAATTATTGTTGGAACTAAATATTTGACATATTTGTGCTTTACTCTGAACCTTTTGTTTCTCTTTCTTTTTTTTTCTTTTTCCAGCAAGTAGAAAGTTTAGAAGCACAGCTTACTGATGCTCTAGCACAAAGTAGTAAAGCAGCTGAAACAAACTCTTCTCTCCAGGTACAGTTGCACTTCTACGTTCCTAATTTTTAATTGCTTCTTAGTTTTACCTATGATGCCCCCTCCTTGTAAAATCGTGCAATACATATCGCTGAGATGCAAAGTTTGTGAGCCTGTCACTATATTGACTTGCTAATTAAAGTATTGAAAGGTAAAAAGTGTGGTACTGCATTTCATCCTCTCTTTCTCTCATTCCTTAAAGAATAATGCAAATATATGAGAAAGATTTTCTGCTTATGGGAATGCTTTTCTTTTTAAATTCAGTGATAGCATGAAGAGGCTGAATAAGTTATTACTGAAGCTTCATCCTTTAGTAGCTTAAATGTTATATTTATGTAAGTACACGTTTGGCAAACAAATAACCAATTCTAGATTAAAGACTAAGTAGTATTGATTTTTTTTTTTCAAAAGGAAAAAGTTATTCTATTGAGTCAAAAAGTGAATACACCTTATGCTATGGAGATCACCAACAAAAAAGAATGGAAGGCCTGAGGCCAATTCCCTCTCGAAACAAAATTAGAGGCCATAGCCCTCTTGGAGGTAGCTAACCAGTTGGCACACTGGTTGCCCTTCCTAAACACATAGGAGATATGGAAATCATTAAACAAGTTCAAGAAGCCAAAAATATCCTTTACAAGGTTTGTTGTGTTCCACGGAGGATCCAACTCCTTCAGGATGTTAACTGCAAGTTGGGCATCAACTTCAACCATTATCCTTTCCACTCCCTCCTGCTTAGCTAGCTGTAGTCCCTCATGCACCACTGTCAACTTGTTGTACAAGCTCCCCTTCCAAATATATACTTGCCACTTGCACAAATACACTGCCCTGTGTGAGTTTTAAAAACAAATCCCAAACCCCTAATTTAGGATATCTTCACATAAGAACCATCAATGTTCAGCTTGTGCTATCTAGGTGTGGGCTAGGCCCAGTGGAATCGATTTTTGAATTAATTATAATGGTCAACTAAAATTTAAATAATGAAGTGGAGAATTTTTAATGCAAGCTTTTGTTAGAATTGATAAGTACAATTGTCTTTAACAGAATAACCGAACAAATGATTTGAAGAATAATATTTTTAATACTTGATTACAAGGGCAACCTAATAACCTATTACAATATGAATTTGTCATGACTCTAGTTGGAAACTCCATGGATTTTGCTTCAAGAGGCTAGTTTTTGAGGAGTTTCTCTCTGTAGTGAAATATAAACTTAGAATCTATTGCTTTTGTAATTTATATGCGACTTAGGATCAGCTGTCATGAAGCAATGTCGACAAGGTTTTCGTCACTTGTCCATGACGGTTTTTGGTTCTTGTTTTCTGTTGTTTTCTTCATGTTTTTGGTGTTTACTTTAGGACAGCTTGTACGATGCAGAAAACACTATAGTCTGCCCTACTTTTGTTTGTTGTCAGTGTTTTTATTTCTTGTTTTCATCATGTAAAACTCGGAAATGATTTTCGCTATGCGACGCCGCACGAAGGAAAAATGGCCCAAGACTATACCGTCCTTACATGCCACGGGCTGATTTTTTGTTGACGACCTAGTGGTGCGTAACGTCAGTCGTCTCAATACCTTGGAACGCCCCAGGTGGCACCGACGCGGATGGGGCTTTGAGTAGGGGTCTGATAGGTGATGCAACTTCTTTATTGTGCCTGTTTTCTATTTAGTGAAAGTGTTAGGTGAACATTGGGCTTGCATTTACCTTTAGAACCCCTTTTATGTGTGCTTGTTCAGTCTGTTTTCAAGACCCTTTTAAGCCTAATGAATGCTGGTTGCTTTGTGTTCCTTTGGATCCGGTTATCTTGCCATTTTCGTGTGTGACGGCGGCAAATTGTCTGCACATTTGCCTTTTTAACCTTTTCTTTGTTGTGTAGGTCTTTTGTGGACTGCACGAGGTTAAGGTCTAGGTTGACCCTTGCTGACATATCACTTGGGTGCTGCACGCCATAGGTAATTCCATCTAAGGGAATGACATAGTGGTATCAAAGCGGATAAAGCAAACATTGAATTGCCATGGTTGGGCAGCGTGGCAAAACTAGCATTTCTGTACATGATGGGCAGTAGCAATGTGTGACCGTTTTGGAGAAACGAACGAGCACTCGCGCGAAAACTAGCAAAGCTGCCCAAGTGGAGTGTGGCATTTGTAGCGATGTTCTCGCAGCGCAAGAGTTCTCTTACGCAGAATAGGCATGAGTTGAAGGGCAGCTTGAATGATATAGAGGCACCAAAGGAAAGATTGGTTGAGTCAGAGCTACGACTTGACCTTGTCAACTGAAAGTTGATGGATCTCCACGAAGCAGGGAGTTTCTTGAGATGGTAGAGTTTGTGTAAATAGGGTTGCAATCTTGACTGGATCAACTGGAGGTTTGAGTCAAAAGGTTGACGGACGACATGAGAGTTTGTGCAATACTTACAAGGGTAAGGGATTTGATGACTCATTACTCAAGTGTTAGTACTAATGCAAGTTACATATGCAAGCGGAGGAATGTCTCGCAGTTATCTCTCATCGAGATTAAGGGCTCCCGAATCACAAAGCTATGAGGGTGCTTTGGATGTTAAGGAGTTAGAAAACTTTCTCTTCGATTTGTAATAGTACTTTAGAGCAAGGTTCGCAATACCGTACCGTACCGGAGTTTCGACCTGGGCTCGGTACCGGTACGGTACGGTATACCGCTCGGTACACCCAGGTATACCGAGCGGTATATTCAGGCGTGCCGAGCACTGTAGCAGGCGGTCCGAGTACCGAGCGGTATATTCAGGCTGTCTGCGTACTGGAAGCCTGTCGGACCGGTACGTACCGCCCGTATCGGGCGGTACGGACCAGTACTGCAAATCATGCTTTAGAGCAACCCAACCAGAATTAAAAGATTCGAAGGTGTCATTAGTGACGATGTACCTTGTTGATGATGGAAAATTGTGGTGGTACACACGGTGGGAAGAAATACAGCAAGGTCGTTGTAACATCGACACTTGGGAAGCCTTGAAGAGGGAATTCAAATTCAGTTCATGATAGAGAATATAGTTCGTTACATGACGGAAGTTATGACAACTTCGTCAGACCTCTATTATCTGGGACTATGTGAAATAGTTTTATGCATTGATGCTAAGTATCCAAGACATGTTCGAGAAAGACAACTTTTTGCTCCCTCGACGATCTGAACTGTGAGCTCAATAGGAGTTCCATCGAAGGTTTTTAATCTTGTATCGTACCGGCGTACCAACGTACCGACGTACCGAGCGGTACGCTAGGGCATACCAAGTGGAGAACATGAAGCAATTTAGGATTTTTGTACCTGATCGTGGACGCGGAGGAGAAGAACTCCCCCCATCGACAGGCGAAGTGCCTTGGGGCCGACTAGTGCATGCACGACGGGGAGTGGCGGAGGGGGAAGGCTTCCAGAAAGGGAAAGTTCTCATGGCCCTCCAATACGACCTTCATGGGTGAGCTCCGTTTCGGTCGGATGGATGGCTTCGAGACCTTCATCGAGTTAGAGGGCAACGCCTTGTCACGTACTAAGCTGGTTTTGCTTAAGTCGTGTGGCACCCTTGCGTGTCCGTCCGCAAAGGTCAGCCTCTTCGAAACCTTTTATGGTCTCTTAGGACCTACAAAAGAGAAAATATGTTAGAGAAAACATTTCACTCGGGATCCAGAAGCAATCATTTCAGCAAATATTTCATAGTTAATGTAAATTATAAACAAACTTCACAAGCTATGAACGGTCGTACAATAAAGGGTCCAAAATGGTCCACTACAGATTGAAATCCTCACAAGTGCTCACATGACACAACCTTTGTTTGCACGCCTAAGACGACCACCGAAACCAACCAAAATGAGGCTGCTAAGCCTATTGTCAGCCCTTTACATATTGTGCAAAGCATGAACAAAACCGAAAGATATAGACATATATGAGCATTACATCAAACACTTACATTTACAATTTTGTCTGTGACATTCTTCCTCACATTTTCCTTCGACGTCCTAGTCGAAGCCTTTGCAGACGCTGTATCTCCTCGCTTTTGTTGAGTCTTCAATCTTCTGCTTCAGTTACAATGCGCCTCGGGGTTCTCAACTGCACTCCGACGCTGTTGTTGAGTAGTCGAACTTTGATCTGTTATGTTGCTTTAACTTGCCAATGACTTTTGACTCTGGTGTGGGGTCGGCTGAGTTATGTTGATCTTTGTTGGTTCCTGCAAATCTCTCAGATGAAGGAAAATACCACCTTTGTATGCGTTAGTATCTCAAATGCTTCATGCCGCTTAGAACTGGGTAGATGCTTGTTGGAGCTTTAACGAGCATCACCTCATAGATTTTGAAGTTTTTAGGTCTCTCCTCCGCAAAATTTGCCCATTGATTTTTCTTTCACTTAGTTGTCACTTCCAAGTAGGTTCGTATTACTTTCGCTTTCGATTGACATTCTGTTGGGAAATGAAGTGGACAATCTACTTTCAGTAGCACTGATCACCATTGGTGAGGAGTTAATAACTATTGTCTTCCCTTAGGTTTCTTCAAAGGGTCTTTGAACCTGTGCAGAGCTCTTCTGCTAGATAGATAAGAGAATTGGGGTACTCGATTTCACCCATTCTCTTAAGAGTTGAGAAGGCAAAGGCTACTTGACTTTGCTTGCCTCCTCGAGGGTTGTACTCCATGCATTGAGCTAGTTACTAGCCTTTGCCCACTCTTTGCTCACACTTCCGAAGCACTCGAATTGTTTGTACTCCTTGCGTTGAGTTAGCTACTGTGATTCACCTTCTCAATACCATCGAACTTCTAAAATGCAAAATGTTTTCGCCCTAACTTGGAGTAGGTCTCTAATAGTTTTGGTTACCTCTGTGATTGTACTGTCTTCTCCATTATTCTGCTGTCTATTCCTCTAAGTAGCAAAGGTACAACACCGCGTACTGCCTACTTCGTTCCTTGGTCGAGCACTCTTGCATTGACCCGAAGTCCTCCACTTTCAGCTATCTTGATGAGAAGCTCGTTGACACCGGTCTTACGAAGTTCCCTAGCTTCTGCCCTTCAGCCTTGTCTCGGTAATTGGAGTTTGCCTCTGCATTCTTCACCTCCTCAGCCCCTTTCACGACCAAGCGCTCTCTCTCCATGAGAATAAGAGATTGATGATTTCATGGAAGTCCCACCTCTACGGTACCATGGTGCTGTCATGCCCATAGTCTTACTATCCGTCGCCTCGCATCTGCGTCCCTTTCTTTACGATCGGTAGATCTACCTCTGTGGCATTATGGCACTCCTCCGAGTTCACCTCCATTCTAACCGATGCTTGGTTTTGGGTAGTTAAGTCCCTCTAGACTCGTCGTCGCTTCCTCGCTCCTTTCGACAACTTGCTTCAACACCTTTGTGTTCTCTGAGTAGTTTCCCTTGGTCGATGGAAAGACGGACTGTAACTCCCATACATGGCCACCGCCATCATATTGCAGGGTTTGCGTCGATTTTGTTCTCCTTAGCTTTCTTGGTAGCAACATTCGCTTACTCGACCTTTTCCTCTGACTTGTCGGGCTCCATTAAGCGAATATGAGCTGTAGAGCAATTCAACTCTCAAACCGCTTCGATTATATCTCTGCATGATCAAGTCCCCCCCCCCCCTCTCCTTCCCCATGGGCCTAATTGGTACTTGCATTCGAAATTCTCTCTCGATGGTACACTACACAGCTCCCATATGTTGATGACTAAGGCTTTTATCCGATGCAAAATTCGATACTGAAGACCCACCTCTGTGATACCATGACATTCACTCCTTGAATCCATAGCCTTTCTTGCCATCATATTGTTCACCAAAGTGGTGCTCTCAGTAGGTCCCGATTATACCTCCGTATGATCTAGTCTCTCACGGGACTCCCACGTGTGTATCGCATTGCCATGAACTATTCCACCACGATCCGTTGCACCATGTCGCCTCCTAGTGACATCTCTATTGCATTCTGATCATTGTGGGATGAACTTGGATTGCGATTCGTCCATGTGTGGCCTTTGCTAGCATATCGTAGGGCCTCTTCCACTTTCGATTGTGTTTGCTCCATTGGCAATCGACCTTCGTCCACCCACTCTCGGGTCATACCCATACGAAGCATAGCTCTAGGATAGTCCATCGCTTAGCAGCTCCCGAAGTCCACTGACTTCGCTGAAATTGGTACACCATTGTTTGGATCTTGAGCCTCTGCCCCCACCCCCACCAGCACAATCTCCATTGTCAACCACTTCCTTTATGGCTGTTTAATCTCGAATTTTGATGATGAAACCAATTGATAATGTTTATCTAATGTGCGTTTGAGTGACGCAGGACTAGCTTCGATCAGAAGAGGCAAATTGATTAAAGCAGGAGGAATCAGACGTTGGGCTGGAGCAAACATGTCAGAAGATTGGACGTTGAGCCGAAGGATCGGTCGACGTGTCGGTAGTAGGCTTCGGTCCGTAAATTCGGGCATCGGGCCAAGAAGATCGGACATTGCGGACAAGGAGATCAGATGTTGTGAGAAGACAATATACTGATTGGGCAATATGCCGAAAGAGAGGATATGCATTGAAGGATCGGACGAAGCGCTAGAAGAACCAATGACATGTCGGACAACAAAGGATTCGCTTGTAATCGATTATGTCTAGATCTAGTTAGTTTAGAGTCTAATGGAGTCAGTTTAGAATGTAATTAGACCAACTTAATTAGGGGTCAACTAGGCCCAAGTTTGGGCTGTGTTGGGCCAAGTGAAAGGCCCAAACAGTGACCCAACAGATGGAATCGTCGTGGCATAGTCTGCGAGACTGTGTCAGATGGTGGTACTATCGGTCTGGGCGGTGGTATCGCCTAGACTCAGTCTCCGAGACTGTCAGGCAGTGATACTGCCAGACCACCGCCCAAACATAGTCTCCCAAGCGATAGTATCGCCAGACTGGGCGGTGGTACCGCTCGTACCCCGAAATCTCGAGGATTTGAATTTTGGCTCTAAGTTTTGAAGCCATTTAGAGTCTATAAATACCCCAGCTATTCCTGCATGGAGTAGTAAGAAAGGTGATCAAAAACTCTGTGTTTTTAAAGTTGAAAACTCTTGTAAAGTGTAGAGTCCCTCATCCTAAAGTTTAGAGACCATTCTAAGGGAGAGTGTGAGGGAAGCTTTGTAAAAAGGGGTTGTAAATGTTCTCTCTTGAACCTGTCGAAAGGAGAATCAAGTTGTAAGGGTAGTTGATCTTCACCCATTGAAGGAAGATCGTTAGTGGATGTCGGTGGCCTCGACAGAAGAGGAATCAGTGGAGTGGATGTAGGTCACGACGACTGAACCACTATATATATATATATATATATGTATATATATATATAAACGAGGCGATGTCACCCCGCTTGGGAGAAGAGAGTATATATATATATATATATATACCGAGCGGTATACCGAACAGTATATCGCTCGGTATACAGTTTCATACTGTATCGAGCGAACATTGAAACTCCAGTACGGTACGAAATTGTATACCCTGGTCATATGCTGATTTCTGGTTGACGGTCTTGAGGCACAAAACATAAGCTATCTCAACCAAGGTATG